TATATGTCAAGGTGTGTTGTCACCTGTTGTTTCTGAATATTTACTTCCCATGTTTTATTTATTTAAACTTTGGGCAACTTTAAGTTAGCATAGCCTTCCTACTGTCACACTGATACATTTGTAAAACGGAGACAATGCGACATTAAATCTCAGATCAGCAAAATAGTCAAAATGTCTGGTTATTAGCAGAGAGTAGTTTATGGCTGTTACTAGTAAATTTGTTATGGGGCTACAGTAAATAGTTATAGTACTGTTATTCCAGTATCTTCTTAAGCATACGTCTAATTGCTTCTTCCTCAACTTTCTCTGTGAAATCCTGTGACTTGATGAAAATCTGATAAACCATTTTTGCTTTGTTTGTGTGTTTTATAGTCCTGTTCAACATGCACGACACAGACAATGATGGCATTATTACTCTGGATGAGTACAGGACGGTAAGAGAAATTAACCATGCACACACTAGCATACACAATAGCTGCTGATAAGAAGCCTTAAGTAAAAATTCCAACACAGGAACATTTAAACAGAGGACATAACAAACTTAATTATTGTAAATATTAAAGTCACTTTAATTACTTTAATATAGCTCAAATTATTTATAGAGCATTTTAAAAAAATGACATTATCACAGGAGAAAACAATGTTACACAAACCTTTTTATTACAGTGCTGTAATGTTCAAAGTTCACCTGTGGGTTCAAAATAAGGCAGGTAAAGAATAATACTCTATTTAATCAACAATTACATTATCTGTCCTGTCAGTTATGTTGACTGATTTTGTGAACAGTCGACTATTGTGTCACTTTGAATTGTGGGACAGCGTTATCTATTTTCCTATTATAAAGGATGAAGTAATCAAGGGAGATTGTAAGTGAAGCACATTTCTTAATGGTTTATTAATTTTAACTAGTGCTTACTATGGCTATGATGTAGCTCCTTGTGTGTAAGAAAATCTGAAGGGCTGGCTTTCACCAGAACTTACAAATGCATTTTTCCTCTGCAGTCCTGATATAGTACGTAAGTGCCCTTGAGGAACTTTTTTTTTTTTTTTTTTTAATTATTTGTGTTGACTTTTTTTTTTTTTTTTTCTTCAGGGATTAAGATAACCAGACTAGGTCATATACTCTACTGAAACCCAACTGGCCCTTGTTTTAAACACTAGGCAACATTATAAAACAATGCCACATGCACATAACGTGTATGTACTTTAAGTATTTTGTATTAAAAGGCTGGACTGTGGAAATGTTGATGACTAAATGTACATCTCAGGTTTAAAAGCAGAAATCTCCTTGAAATTATATTTAAGACGACTCATCAGCTAATGTTGCAAAAGATTTAAAATGCCTTGCACTGAAAGACTGACTGAACCAGTCTGTACACACCCACATGGCTCTCAAACAGCATTATCAGCCAAGGCACATAAAGACATTACATACAGTACTCTTCAGCCATCTTCACTGTTAATTTTCGTGTGAAAATAATATGGTAGGCACCTGCTGTGACACATACGCGATTAACTGCAAACCAACTGCAGAACAAGTTAGAGTTTAATAGCTCAAAAGACTGTTCATACTTGCAAAGAATTAACCCAGATGTTAAGTTGGGTTAAAGCAAGATTTACAGATAATGTTTTATCACAAAGACTGTTAATATAAATCCAAGTGGATTTTTGGGCACTTAATCGAAGCGAGCTGATTGGCTGCGAATACCATTCTTAAACTATAACAGCTGAGTTTCTTACCTCTGCTGTATTTGGAAATCATCGTGTGGAGTCGACTTTTAATGTTCTGTTCACATCCAAGGTGGTAGAGGAGCTGCTGTCTCAAAGCGGAGCCATTGAGACCGAGGTTGCCAGGTCGATAGCAGATGCTGCCATGCTGGAGGTGGCAAGCACAAATGTGCCCCACATGGTAAGAGAACTCACCAAAGCTGAACTGTTACAAGAAATTTGCACATGTGCAGCGAAGTAACACAGTCACTGGTCTCATTCCAGGCCCCGGATGATTTCTATGAAGGAATCACATTTGAGCATTTTGAACAGGTTTGCACTTACCTTATATATGCAGATATATCTATATATTAGATTTAGATGGATAAATATATTTTCAATGTTTTCTGCCCACAGATTTTAAAAGGCATTGAAATGGAGTCCAGGATGTCCATTCGCTTTTTGGACATGAACACCGCAACAATGCGTTGTGGGAAATTAAGCTCTTGATTGGGTTGTTGTTGTAAGGAAATATTTATGTTGCTGCTGTTTTAGCACAGTGTCACCAGTCCTAAAAAGGAATGAAGCCAGCCACTTCTGATATAAATAAATATATAAAGACAAACAAATATATTTTTGAACAGGAAAAAATGCTAAATAAATGTAACACACTGCTGTAAGTTCATTTTCATGCCAGTTTTAAAGACTGCATGTCACTTGTGCCTTTCTAGAGTTCTTCAGTTAAGCTTTAAGAATTCAGTTTTTGTTTTATTATCTGAAAAATAGCTAGTATGAACGAATGCAGTGAGGTTTATATTTAGGCTTTGGTCACAACACACACCAGTCTCTCAGCACTACAACTATTCTACAAGCTCTACTGCAGTCAGCAGGTAATGTGAGGGTTTCTTTATACTAGAGAGAATCTTCACTTTAGCTTAACTCAGTGGCTACTCTGGCATTCATGGGTCAACTGTTATGGCATCCAAAGTGAGACGCTGCAGGCACACACCATTTCCTCTGTAGCTCCAGAATAGCTCTTTTTGCTGTGTTCCTCTGTGTAACCAACCACTACTGATGTACTGTAGAAAAATGCACTATTTTTGATTACTGGTATATGGGAGAGTGTACTTTCTCTAAGGTGAAATCTGACAGCCCTCTCAATTAATTCTATTAATAAACAAAATAAATGTGAAGAAAAATGCTTGTGTACATTTTTTTTAATAGGAAAGAATATTAAAATGATTTGCATATAGTAAATGAGGTAAAAATGACTTTATTCCTGTGATGTTGGACTACATCAAACCCAGTGTTTCATCGGGCAGCTAGATTCAACAATAACATAGAGATACCTATGCAACAGTTATATACAATACACCGACACTACTACATTTTAATAGCCTTGATTTGATCAGGATGATGGAAGAGGACCTGTTAAATAAAACGACAGAGTTTAAAGGTTCAAACTGATACATGTTACTGTCTTTTCAATTGCAGTCAATTAAGTCCATTTGCAGTCTGGAAAACTGCGTGTCATTGGGACGGATGGGAACCAGACAGCCTGTCGTAAGGCACTGCTAGGCTGATGTTGTAGTTGTAGCCATAAGACTCTATGTAGTCAGACCTGCAGATGGGCAGGATGTGATCCTGTGACAGGGCGTCCTCAGAGAAGTCATAGTGGCAGATGACTCCTCTGTGTCTGAAGTTTAGAAAAACAAAACATTGACATCAGTAACTGTTAGGTTTTGTATTGTTGTTTGTCATTTATGCTTAGACTTTGCTTTAGAAGACTGAGACAAAACGGCAGACGTGCAGTTTAGCTCATTTATCCCCTAAATGCATCATCTCCAGGAAATCATAAATTACTGTTTTTAAATGTGGATATGGGATAACAATCACTTAATGATTGTTTGTGTGTGTTCAACTGTAGCTTTCTGAAGAAATGCTTATCCAAGCAACATGAATGAGTGACTGAAGGAAGCCACAAGAAGCCAAAGACGTTACAAAAACATGTCTAGCATCTCTTTGTGACTAAACATTGTAAAACGGTTTGTCCAGTTGTCATTTTTTCCATACCCATTCAAAAGGCCTGTACGAATTAAATTTATGTTAGTTTGTGACTACTTTAACAGCGAATCTCCTCACAAAAATAGCCCAACAAACGTGCTTGTCTGAGCGACGCAGCCACACAGCAGTCATTTTTGGGGAGATGCTGGTAACACGCTTTAGCTCGAATGTGAAAAATGCTCATCCTAACAAAGACACAGGGTGTGTGTGTGTGTGTGTGTGTGTGTGTCCACTAATAGACCTACCAAGAACAGACAGAAGCATAGGCAGACAGATTTCTCAAATTACAGGTAAGGTGATGAGTAAGGTCTTACTAAAAGAAAGTACTGTTGTTCTGTACAAAAACATGATCTCACCTAAGGATTTTTGCTACCTCTGGTTACAGTGAGACTACCTTCTTGCTAATGAAGGTCCTCAGCAACCTGTTTTTCAACAGGTTGCGGAGGACTCAGAAATGACAGCTGTATCGCTTTTCTCAAAAGGAATCAACCATCCATTCTTCTCTGCTTGTCCTTATCAGCGTTGCATAGTGGCTGGAGCCTATCCCAGCTTTTGTACAAGAGACTTATAGGAGGTAGAAGAATAGAAGAGATCCAGGCAAAAAAAAAAAAAGTGTAGGAGGGAGATCACGACCTGCGATGAGCTGTTAGGTCATCATCTGTGATGCAAGCTCCCCGTGGCGACTTGTCATCAGGGATGTTGGCTGTTACCAGAGTGCTGGTGTTGAAGCGTACATGTCTTACAGGATGCCTGCAGCAAAGATGGAAAACACCTTGAATATTAAATATATAAATCGCATTCTTGCCAGCATGTGTTTCGCTGATGGATGTATCCACTACTGTAGCATCTACAAAAGATACCAGTTAAGATGCTGAATGTTTTCTATGCGGTGAAGGCGCCACAAAAATGACAGTTACTTCTTGGAGATGTGAGTGTGATACTAAACTGACTCCACAATATTGTCTTAAGCAATTTAATTTACATGAAATAAAAACATTTATGTGAGAAGATTACGTTAACTGTGGCACAAGAAACTGAAATGAGAAGAAAACAGAGTAATCATAATCACTGGTTAAATGTGTTCGAATGAGGAACTACATTTACTACAATGTTAAAGTCAAATACCATACTCATAATGTGATACAGCAGAAATAACATGTTTAAAAAACAATTTTAGTGTTTCTGACAGTTTGTACTGAAAACAGTCCTACCTGTTGTGCATCTCCCATAGCTTTGCTCCCATCCTCATCTCCCAGACACACACCAATCCCTCGCCTCCGCCGCTCACAATCTTCCAGTCATCCGCTTGCACAGAGGTGACCCCCAAGTGGTGGGCGTACAGAGATGCGACAGAAGAGCCGGATCTTATGTCGAACACCCTCACCCTGAGACATAGTAAGGAAAAACCAAAACTAATATTAAGTTATTGAGAGAAAAGTGCTTACTTTTGTCATAAAACTACAGTTATTCAAGTCAGACATCCTTCACAGGCCACTTTATTGTTGGTATCCTTGATAAAACTCCCCTGACGATCCAGCGTAAGACCCATAGAAAAATAAGTGAAGTAAGTACAATAGCACTCTAGCTAATTTGGGATTTTTTTTTAACAAAAGTGGATGTCTAATACCAAGGGAGAGCCACAGTTTATCAAAGAGTGCATTCATTTGCAGACAAAAGGACTCTATTCTCACTTCTTGAAGGAAACGTTTCAGCACAGATGGCCCACTCCAAAGTTTAGTCCCAGCTTGATTTGTTCTCGCATCTGGACAACTATTTCATAATTTGATTCAACAAACCAAGATTATAGTAGTTATTTAAACATGACTACCAACTAATAAGTAACTGGAATACAGACAGAAATCCAAAACCAACTAAACAAGGATCTAAACAATATTCAAGAACGAAGCAAAAAAAGAAAACACAAAGGGCGAGCAAAACACCCACATGCACAAATGTGGAATGAAAAGGCTGCTGTTGTGCAGCTACTGTAGAAAATAAGAAGGAATTCAAAGTGTATAAATATATTTGACAGCACATATAGGGAGTGCATAGTGTGCACTGTAAATAAACAGTTCATATGTCGAACGTGACAGAATGAACACGACAAAGGATACTTTCTCTGATCCATTTTCAAACACTTATCTTTGTCACCTCATGTTTTTAATAAAGTGTAGCAAGTTTTACTTCATTTGTTGTACTTTTGTTCACTTTTGTATTCAACGTTACCGTTTTTCTCTTTTAAAGTTTGACAAGGATTTTCTTTTAATCTTTTCTATGTTTCTCTGATCCTTTCTGTGTTAAAATAAGCTTTTATGATGATATGATAATTATTATTAATTTGCTGGTATATCTGAGGGATGAAAAGCAATAAGAGCAGGCTTTTTACTCTCCAGGTTTTATCAGCAACATGAGCCCAGGGGACCCTCAGCTCCATCTGTTGTCATTGTGGGTTTATTGCAGCTGAAAGCATCCAGGACATGACTCTATCCAGGCCCAACCTTCTTCCAAGACCTCATTACCATAATCAAATTCACTTTGGGGACTCAGACAGATTTCATTTTCCCTTCCAAACTTTTTAAAAGAATCAGCCTTAAATAGCTAAATGGGCACTGAGGACTTGTTGTCTGCAGTTAGTTCTGCCTGTTTAGTGGCATTACGTGATGGAAGCACACGTTTAAACAATGAGGACTGACCATTACTGCCAGACCTTGGGGAACCATAAATCTAAAGCAGAAGGCGGCTCTGTCTTCAGTTAACTGTCACTGGCTAGGCTCTTCTTCATTAATCAAGAGGAGCTCTCCCTAATACGAGATGTGTGGGAGAAGTGCAGTTAACCCCTGAAAAGCTATTTACCTAACGCTGGAAGAAGACATCAATCATTGCGCCCTGAGAGAGACAACCGATTCAGTGGTGTGATTGGATGATTGCACCGGTCTTGTAGTTTTAGCTAAGCTTGATATTCCGTAAAAATGGATGTCTTAAAAACTGGGAATAACTAATTTTGGCTCCTACAGTTGAGTAACAGTGTTCAAATAATTTGTTAAGTTCATTTTGGTTTTTTTCCATTCAAAGTTATGGGTTAAGTATTAAATGATCAACAATAAGATGGAGATTTAAGTGGAATAAACCAAATTCCACCACAATTTTTAAAAAAATTGATCGATTTTGGAGTAATACAATGTGCACAACTGTGGATGCTCCCCTTAGCGTAGAATAAACTGCTAGTTTGTGTTGTGTGCCAGATAATGCTGTGCCATGTATAGCCTGTGCACCGAAAATGTTGTAGCAAAAATATTCATTTGCATATGCAGTGGGCAACACGATCTCCAACTAAACCCATATTTTCTTGTGCGTTTCTCGAGCAATTTTTTATTCAATTGAAAGCCTGCTATTTTTGGATTGAAATATGCATCTGTGGTTTGTGAAAAAAGCATACCACAAAGCAAAAATCACTTAGGTTTTCGTATCTGATGTAAAGTGCTGTTGTTGATGTCCATTAGTCTTTGATTATGGAAAACACAGGGACATTCATTTTTTCAGAAAGATTGATGGAAAAAAGGCTAAATAAGTGATTGCATTCTGTTACAGAGGCGAGCCCAGACATGACGTAAGGACATCAAATTTCTTTCTTTTGTTTCGAGACTAAGCATGCTAGCATTTTCTAATTAGCACAAAGTATAGCTGAGAGTGATGTTAATCCTATTAGGATTTATTTATTTATTTATTCTTGTGGGAAACAAATGGCGGTTTAGAATTTAATGCCAAATGAAAAATATTTCATTGAAAACCACAAATATCAACCGCATTATTTCTCTAGAAGAAAAGTTCAAGGACCACAAAAGAAAGTAAATACAGTTTTGGTCAGAAGTTTACAAGCACTCATCATGGGCATGACTGTCGTGGTAATTTGGAGCTTTTAGTGCATTGTGCATCTGTAATCCACATACTGTCTAAAGTATACTTGCTCAAGTAAATGTCCAGTAGCAAGTTGCACCTTGACCAGGTGATTTTGGTAGTGATCAACAAGCTCCTTCATTCATAATTCAGGCTGGATCCTTCACCACTCTTGGTAGAATTGGAAGAAGTTATTTAAATTGGTTGGTTTCCTCGCATAGACTCGACTTTTAAGCACAGTCCAAAAATATCAGTAGGGTTGAGGTCAGAGCTTTGGGCGTGTCATTACATTAGCTTAGTGTTATCCTGTTTAGTCCATTCCAAAACCTTCCTAACTTGTATATCTACAGTTCTCCTTCTTAGACCTTCCTTGGACTTTCCCTTTGTCCTCAAAAGATTTAAGTGAATATATGTATTTAAGTACATGGGTAATTTTGACCGCGTTTGCAAAAGAGAAAATCCAAAATATTCAAAATTCAGGCTTATACACCCAAGTCTTCTTTTTTTTAAAAGATTATTAAAGATGCATGCTGTACAATCGCTCTACCCTGAAAAATCAACAGTTTAAAGAAATCATTACAAGCGTATGTAAATGTCTGGTCACAACAGTGTCTGTGAAATATTTTGGTCCAAACCATTCAATAAAACCTTAACTGTTTCACTGAATGTCAGAGATGTTCCTGGTTAGAATGGACCTCTGTAGGTCAGCATGATAAGCCCATGTATAATCTATCAAACTTCAAACTGGCATAGCTGTTCATGAAGCTGTGCCACAAAACATTTGATTGAAGGATAAGTTTGCCAGTAAAACAGTCTCAAAGCTGAACACAATATGTGCAGTCCTTCTTAATTGTAACAGTACTCATTATTTCTTCAATTTCTAAATATATGTAATATTTCCCTTTGTTACATTGTTCCTGTTTACACAAATATGGCAAGGTTTTTCCCGACAGCCATCATTTGGACTCCTCATGTGCTCCTTGGATCTCGCAAAAAACAAAGGGACAAAACTCATTTGGACAAAAAGAAGGGATGCATTAGGCTCTGGCCTTAAGCCACCCTGTTGAAGGGCCAAGATTTCAGACTGTCCCTCAGTTTCCCAATTTCCATTTGTCCTCGGCTGTGCGCTGCATCAGCTGGGGCCAAAGTGGAAGAGCCAACCTGGTGTGTGTACCTCTCTGGACAAAATCTGATCAGAAAGTCCAAGAGGAAATCACTGAATTATTCATTCAAAGGGTGCTGTTGAATATTACTATGAAAATCACAATTCTGTGACACTTGACAAAAGATCTTTAGTGGAGCATTTCCTGCTTTTGTATGAATGTCAGGAGTCATAACTAGTAAGAAGAGGGGGAAAAAAATAGAACCTAAACAATACGATGTGGTCTGTCTTTCGCTGTCAGCCAACTACTTAACAGCCAGATGGATTTGGTGCTGAATAGAAACAGCGGGGGCAGCTTTGGACAAAGACACGCCAGGGATTTTTTTCTTTCCTGCCAGCTCATGCACTGTAGCACCACTAACAAGTAGAGAATGGCTCTTTTATGTGTCCTTTTCTCAACTGGAGAGCCAGGTTAGCAATGTGGTAAGTGTGTCTACATGAATGAAGAGAATCAAGATAGCCAAATTTTTCTCTTCTATAGTATCCCAGGTACTGGAGGAGAAAGACAATGAAAAGCGAGATATTTGTCTATTTAAGACAAAGAACAGAACATCACTCTTCTAAAAAACTGCTAATGAATTAATTTTCATCTCAAAAAGCTTTTCAAAGCCTTGTTTTTCAACATAAAAGGTTGTACTCTAAAAAATTCACAAATATAATCAAGCCACGTCTTTCACACATTTTCAAAACATCTGTTATCCACTTCAAGTAACCTTAGCTTTCCAGCCTTCTTCATCATCAGGTGTCGCTTTGAGAAAACAATTTCACAGGCACACTCCTTTTAGCTTGCATTCTTGGCTCAGGTTTCTGATATTATGCACGATTTTACATCTGTATGTGTGTTTTTGTGTCCTACCTCCTGTCTTTGTTCCCACACACCAGCAGATGAGGAGAGCTGTCTCTCAGGTTGATGCAAGTGAAATCTCCCGGCGAGTTGCCGACAGAAACTGTCGGTTTGCGCGTCTCCAGGCTGTAGATGTGGATCTGAAATTTGAGACAAACATTACGCTTTTCATATATGACAGTTAGTCAACTTCCAAGACTGTCACCACATGCATAAACCGTACAGCAGATTTTAGCTCTCAATATAAGACACTACAGTGGAAGTGTGAAACCAAATCAACCGAAATAACAGCATCCTACTGAAAAACTAGAAATACAACAAAAAGCTCCTAAAACCAGCAAGCATGCCCAGCTGAGTGTCGCCAGGGAATATATAAAAACTGCATAAGGGTGCATTGTCAGTGGGTTGCACTGTTACAGAGACAGTTAAAAAGAATCTATTGTATATAACAACTTTAACTGTTTTTATCGGTGTTAATCATCATCTAGTTATATATGCTAATAAAATTTTGTGTAAAAAGTGTTACAATTCATAGATTATCTGATCTGCGCACACACAGTGAATAAGGCTAAAAACATTTTCCTGTTACCTAACAATGGCTGCTTCATTTTGCATCTAATTCAAGTGCAGCAATGAAAGCACAGGTGAATAACTATTGTAATAGTTTAAGTCCTGGGATTTGCAAGAGATATTCAAACACACATTAATATGTTTATCTCCATTAAGATATTGTTTTTAAACTTTAATCAAAAATCTCCTACAAGGTGAAAATGTACCAGGAGAAAGTTCAAATAGCTAAAGCCTGAATCACAATGAATGATGCTTAGATCATTCTGATCCACTTTGTTTTCCTCAAATAAATTATACACACACACACACAATATGTAACTACACCTCAAAGTAAAACTTATGATACTGGATAGACGGTAATACTGCACTAACTTACTGTACAATTGACAATTACAGGTAACTGCAAACACCCTCGGCCAATTATGTGAATGCATGAAGACGAACTGAGGGGGGGAAAAAAGACCTGAAGGAAAACTTCAATTACAGCCTTTCCTGCTTTTGGCTTGATGACGGCAATAAACTTTCCTCATACAAGTTACAATGATGTCATCTGGAGCTGGCCTAATTGGTCAATTAGCGGCTGGTGTTTTCTCATCCAAACGAGACAGAACAAACAGGATAACCGCCAGGCAAAATTGTCTTTGAATAATTAAAACGACAAAGAAATTAAAGCGAGAAGGGAGGGAGAGAACGAAAGAGGGCCAAAAGGAAAGGAGGGATAGAAAAGGACAGACAGAGAGAGCGAGAGAGAGGGGGGGGTAGAGAGACAGCAGGAAACATAAAAGAAGTTTCAAAAAAGGAGAAAGATGATGTAAGCCTTGAGGAGGTGCCAGCAGTTTTTGTGTGTCCCTTATTTGGGCCAAGCAGAGCTTTAATTGTGCACCACCCCGGGGCAAAACCCAAATCACACCGGACTTTGAAATGACAGCTTGATAGGATTTGGACAGGAGAAAAGAGGGAGTACCATGAATTGAGAAAGGAGGGGGGGGCACAAAGCCTGCTGTTCACAATGAATCACTGCAGATTCTGGAAGATACTTCTATTAAATATCTGCCTACCTCACCCACTAAAATTATCGCTGAGGGAGGCAAAGGAGCTGTTTAGTGATAATATTACAGGCAGTTAAAAGAAAGCAGCAGAGAAAGGATAATCGTATGGCGACAGAGAAGCTGTTAGGTTAATGCATTAGATGAATCTCCAGTGAGGCTTCCAAACAAAAGCAGCTCTAATAGTTGCTTGTCTTGGGATGTTTATGTAATTACTCTGTATGCTTTTAAAAAGATGAAAAGCTTACTAATTACTACTACATCTCAAAGAAAATCTTTTATGCTTTGATAATCTGTACAAAAGCGCAGAAACTGGCTTGGTGTGTCATATCATAGACCAGCAATGGGAAATCATCCTGTGACATGGAAACTCAACCTTCTGTTGGTTTTTGTTCCAACAAAAGAATCCATCGGTTTAAAAAAAACCTACAGACTGCTGGCTTTTTTACTGGACCACACCCTTTTGTTTGGATTCAGCTCTATATTTGCTTTAACTATACGGACAGACAGATGTGAGCGCATCGGATGAAACGCATATTGTTAGGTTTGTTCCAGCCAACACTTTCTAAGACTTGCACTTTACATTTCACTTTGTGAACACTTACAGTGTCGTACAGAGGGTTGGGATTGAGGCTGAATTCTCTATGGACAAACAAAAAAATTTACATTTATACGTCAGATGTCGCGCCATGCTGCTCTTTTTAGATTTGCATACTTACAGAATATTTACTTAATCATGCACAGGTGACTGAAAATTGCTATTGGGCTCTTTTAAAAACTTTATTATTATTATTATTATTATTTACCTGGGAAGGAACCCATTTCAGGTTTTATTGAGCAATTCATCCCTAATGATCTGATTTCTGTCCTGACAGATTAGTAGTTCTCTATATAAATATAGAAAACCCACATTTGTACATGCTGTACAAACACAGCCCATCTAACCAGCCCTCTGAACTTTGGGCAACAAGCAGATGACAGGTTTTCAGACAGCACTTGAGCTCAGCGGTAGATCCACTGCAGAGGATTGATAGTTTGCCAGTGAAGAAGCCAGCCTGTGCTGAATGCAGTGCCACAAGCTGGGCAGATGCCAGGGTGCCCCCAGTCCAATGGCAAGGGGAAGACTAGTAGTAATGAGGACCTGGAGAGTAGCTTCAACCACACACGCAGAGACACACACACAAACGAGGGAGGGGAGATTTACAAAAAAAAAGAAAGAAAGAAAAAGGTGCAAGCTAAAAGCCGTTGCAAGACAACGTGTGAGAGATAATCTCTGATGTGATCGACACAAAACAAACTTTGATTTTCCAACAAAACTTCAATAAAGTCACACAGCGAGTTCTAGTCAGCTCAACAGAAACGTGGCAGCACGGTTAGTTTTATCTGGGTCAAAATGCTGTAAATTGAAATACTTCACTCTTCTGTCTGGAAAAAAAGGTGTTACATGACTTCCTTGGATGCCACCTCCATGTATCTTAACAGATTTTAATGAACCATATGTTTTCTTACTAAAGGCATAACTAATAGCTGCAGCCAAGTTGTGCTTTGTCTTCTTCACGGTATGAAAATTGCTGATAGAAGCGTGACAGGAGTGACAGACAAGTTAATTAAATTTGTAAGATATTTTAATTAGTCATGCCAATCATGAATTGGCATAATTGAGATGGGATACCAAAGACCACATGTATCTGATCTGCGAGTGAAATTAATCAGATCTAAAAGGCAGTGCACACTGGGAGAGGAACCTTTGATTTTCATTTTTAACCAGCTTTAAAATTTTAACCAATTTTAAAGCTGAAGATAAAAAATATGATCTCAGTCGGACTGTCTGAGACTAGCTGTGTTTACGGAATAATGTTAGAGCTGGGTGGGGGGTTTTAGAATCAGAGGCAATCCCAACGATGTACAGTACTCAGGATAACACTTTAGGAGTAGGGCGCCAACTACAGCCTCAACGATCCAGTTAGCTGTCTATAATTTTTCCAGTAAATATTTTGTCACGCTGTCAATGAACACCAGTAAATTAGGAAACAAATTTCATATATGGTGCTATCTGATTTACAGACCCCCACATCCCACAAGAAAAACTGATAGTAATCAATTAAAAATGAAGCAAAAAGAGACAAATACAGATAATTCTCACTCTGGAAAAGCAAGAAGCAAAGAATGTTTTCAGTTATAAAACCAATTTCCTCTTTTATCAAGCTACAAATATTTTTTCTACAAATCAGCTCAAAATTAAATACAGAAACAGCAAAAACAGCACGTTTGAGACTGCATCCATGGATCCATCCGTATTAGCTTGTGATATTTTCTTGAGAACATTAAGAGGATGCTTCCCAGTTTATCTTGTTTCAGTTAAAGAGTTTTGTGAAGATATGAAAGGAAATTTCTAACTTTGCCTCAGCTTCGATGGCATAAAATACTTCCAAAATTCCAACTGAAAAAAAAAAAGTTAACCACTTTCCAGTTGGATCGAGCTCTACCCCAGGAAAATTTTTTCACCCAACTCTAGCTAGAATCTTTGAAAAATTCTGTTAACAATCAGACAAACAAACAGAAATATATTAATTGAATCAATCAGATAACCTTCTTGGTTGGTGGATTTAATTAAGTGATACAAAAGTGAGACCCTTAAAATAACAAATGCTTACCTAAATGTCAGTCTCTATACTATTTAAGAGCATCATCATATATTAAGGTTTCACTGCTAGTCTCTCTTTGGTCCACTATGTGGTGCTTTAGTGCTGTCGCTGAAAATGTGCTGCAGCGTTCCAGCTGTGATTTCTAACAGGAATGATGTCAGTGTAGTATCTTTGCCAAAAAGCAATAAGTCACCAACAAACTGGTGTGTGCACTCACACACACAGTGGGTATTTGCAGCTCTACAGCTACCACTCCACCACCACATTTAATTGAGACTGCCTTCTTTGAATAAGCAGTTTACTTGAATGTTTATCATCACAGAAATACATGATTTAGATGAAGTGAACCTGACCACATAATAACTGCTGACTAGTTGTCCCCAGATCCCAAAAGATGAGTTTGTCTCATGGCTATTTGTAGTCTCTAAGTAATGGCTTAAGAGTCAATTAGGTACATGGAGTCCTTAGAAACACAGTATTATTAGAAGCAAACAGATACAGATCAAGGAACAACACTCCACAAAAGGTGCTCCTAAAGCTCTAGTAATTAAGAGCAGAGGTCCAGAGAGGGTTTGCATTATTTAGGCTAGCTATTTATGCTATAAACTAATCCCCTACAGGCACATGACATTATTTCTAAAGGGACCCAGGGGGTCTAAAGGGACCTCAAGTAATAGTGATCACACCCGCAAGAAAGTTTAGACACAGAGCAGAGCACCTAAAAACCAGAAGCAGTTGTAAATATAGACCAGATTTAAAAAGGGAAAATGTTGTTCTTTTTTTTCTAAGAGAAGATTGGTATTTCAGCTACAAGCCAGTGATTAAAACTGACACTGGCCTAAAGCCAAAACTTTTGTCCTCACTGCTTTTTACTCAGTAAATTATATTTGTGCAACAAAACATGCATCATTCCATTTAAACAAACCAAATTATTTACCCCGTACAACTTCCCATTTTTTCATTACGCACCTGCTGTGAGCACAGCTGACCTTGTTAACTCTGATGGAAACCTTCCATTTCAATTAGCGAGGTCAAGGTAGCTTTTTATACATTTAAAATCCAGCTGCAGAGTCCAGAGGCCTTCCATCTAGTTGGTCGACGTTCAAGGTTTTGTTTAGGTTTATTTGTGTTTCGCAGTATTTTCAATTCCACCCACCACAAAACCTTGATACAGCTCCATCAATTCCATTAACATACAAACACTAGATTACAATCCCACATACATACATACTGGAGTGCCCTTCATAAAGGCTTAAATAATCATCATAACAGCATGTAAATTAGTGGCCAAAAAAAACCAAAACTGTGGATAATGACTTTACTCTCTCCCAGAAAAAAAAAATGCATATGTCAAGTGAAGAGTTGCAGATGTACCATTATAACAACGTTCTTTATGTTGACATGTGGACCAAAAATCAAGGTGCTTATGGGGTTGAAGGCATTTTTCACACTCAAAATGTGGTTTTAGTGTCAGGGTTACAATTGGGTTATGGTTAGGTTTAGGGTAAGGCATTCATTTTTGATGGTTAGGGTTAGGATAAGCAGCTAGAAAAAGCATTATGTCAATGACATGTCCCCACTAACTAGCAACACCTGATATGTGTGCATGTGTGAGCATGCATAAGCTTTACAAAAACAAAAATGTTACATGTGTTTTTATTTTTAAATGTCATAATCATTGTTAATGCTGGTATATCACAAAACCCCTAGTTTTAATAAAATAATTCACTTTCCCAATAAAAAAAATCCATTTATTATTGAGTAAATGGATTTTACACCAGACTAGAAAATGGTTCATTTGCCACTATTAGCAGACGAATAATTCCCTGTTCATACTACATCATCATAGTCAAAAACTGGACAATCATGGCCAGCTGTACTGTTTATTGCTGATTTCATCCACGAGCAGACCTGAAGCTTTGCAGTGCTTTATAAACATTAAGGCCTACTCAACTTTGATTTTTCATGTGCCATATACATCACATAGCAAAAAAGTGCCAGGGTTCAGTTTTAGGTTTTCTGAAGAAACTGTGTAATTACACTGATTAAATTAAGGTACTTTTAAAACCTATGTGTTCATTTTCTATGGGAACTGTACACAGAAGCTGAACCCACCTTGTTCCCTCCGTCATGCATGGCCCAGCCTGTGCGCTTCACCCCAAATGCAACATGGGATTCTGAGGCATCCAAGCAGGTAACAGGATGACCATAGACTGAGTGGAGCATCAATGGCTCCTCCTCCCGTGGGTCCAACAGGTACATGGACTCTCCTGCTGCCAGAGCTGCCAAAGGACATTGCTGGTCCCTACCTGGGACTAAAGTCATGCTCTCTACCTGTGAGATTAGACAGGATGGATGCACTTTTTTTTTTACATATACATCAGTATAGAAAGTGACTTTATTAAGTATATAACTGCATTTTAGTACATTACTTGCACACTTATGTACAAGTCATTTAATCACTGAACTTTTTAATTCTTTGATCATGTCACCTTGGTCTTTTTTGTCCTTCCCTACCTGCCACATAAATGCCTACTACTATGCCTGTGAACTCAAACTACCAGGATACTAAATAAATAACCAGTACTTTAAGTGATTTCCTCCACAGTCCAAACCCCAACGAAAGCCAATTTCTAACTTGATATTCAGAGAAAAGCTGAAAGCAACAGTCTAATAATTAACATAATTGCACATTGAAATGTGTCATCTGATAAAAATGAAGAACTCTGACTCACAGTCTTGGGTAGCTGAGTCTGGCATACTGTCCTCCAGTAGCCACAGTCTTTTGCGCAGTCAAGCCGAACATCTGATCCAGTGGCGGAGATCAGGACAGGACTGTCAGGGCTTAGGGACAGGACCTGGATCCTCCCTGTAGTCTGGTAGTGATAGATGGGTTCCCCACCTGTCTCTGTGCTCCACAGGTCTACACAGCCTATCCCAAAAACAGTCCCCAAGTCTTTTACTGTATGCATTTAATGTATGCATTTATCGCATAAGGAAAAATGATAAACAAAGGGCATCATGTACAGAAATTACAAGTGCATCTAACCATAGGTTTCTAGGCTTGATAAAGAAAAGTTGATTGAAAAGACTAATGATTGCCTTGCTTTTGATTAGAAGTTATACATAGTGTGTATTTGGTGTGGGCAATGCTTTGCCCAAAAGATACCACTGCATTACACATATACACACAAACACTGACCATCTTCATACGCAGCAGCAGCCAGCGTGCCGTTGACCTGGACGTGACTAACATGTGGTCTCGGCTCAGTGTTAGCAGACAGACTATTGGCCTTCAGGTACGAAGCCGTTGAGTCCCAGTGGAGGGTATCCCACAGCCTCACATCACCAGACGTGTACCTTAAATCCAAACACGCAAAAAGTTCATCAGTGTAAGGAAAGTTTTGTTGACCTTTTTTTTTTTTACAGCACGTTGAAAAGTTTCCACCTTCGAGAACACCTGACGTCACCCTCTCACCGCTGAATCATTTCCCCTTTCACACCCTCCTCCTTTGCTCACTCTGACTTGTTATTTTGTTTTCATCCTTTGTTACACGATCTTTCGACAATTACGATGGTGTTGTTTGGGCGACACAATAACGAACATTTCGCCCCATTTTCCAGGACAGTTTTCAGTTCCTTTTTAAATTTTTTATACATCACAGCTCTAAAACTTCTGTCTTACTACAAATGAAGTAATATTTGATCATTTATTTAAAAGTATACTTTCACTGAGACTGGGATATGCACACATACACAGTGATACACACTGGACCTTGATTTTACTTTGGGTTTAAATATTGATTTTATTTGTTCTGATGACATTTTTATCTCTGATCATCACTGTATTCGCCGCTGTATTCATAAATTCCTCGACAGCGGGATGCTTTTAATGTAAATCCATCCCCTCAAAGCGATGCCGATTTCTTAAGAGATCTATTTAATAAGCATTGTCTTTCCATTTTGGATGAAATTTGTCCAGTTAAAATGAGACAAGCTTCTGTTTTTAGTCCTCACCTTGGCTAAATGATAATATTTCCTGCTTAAATCGTGATTGTTGCAAAGCTGAGAGCTTGTGGAAGAAAACTAATTTAAATGTTCATCTCCTTTACTTCAAGGATCTGTTAGTTTCTTTCAACAATGCAATTAGAGATGCGTGGGCTGCCTATTTATCTTATCTGGTTGCAAAGGGCAGAGGTAATCCTAAGGTGTTATTTGACACTATTACTGTACTGACATTATTACTCCTGCTCCACCTGCTGCCCCCATTTATTCAAATGAAGACTGTGAAAATTTCCTTCCTTCTAGAAAAAATTAGTAATATAGGAAATTATTTTTCCCCATCAGCTTATGCACTGTCTGATCCTACTCTAGCTTGGTCTGTTATTTTAGAACATTTTCTACCCATTTCACTACCCGAGCTGGTAAAAATAGTTAGCTCAATGAAAGCATCCTCCTGTTCACTTGACTGTTTGCCTGCATCGCTATTCAAAAGTGTCTTCCATTCCACTGGTCCCTGTGTGCTCACCATAATTAACACCTCTCTGACATCTGGTAAAGTCCCTGCTTATTTTAGAAATGCTGGTATACAACCCCTTTTAAAAAAACCTAAGTTAGACCTTTTCTTACCAGCAGTTACAGTTTTAGACAAACATAATATTCTTAACAAATTCTGGTCTGGCTTTCGTAGAACCCATTCTACTGAAACAGCCCTTCTTAGGGTCTCCAGTGACATTTTTTGTTGCAAAACGATGCAGGAAAATGTTCTGTTTTGCTGATGTTGGATCTCACGTCGGCCTTTGACACCGTTGACCATCACATCCTACTTGAAAGACTAAAATACTGGGTCGGTGTATCTGGATCTGCCTTAGAGTGGTTCTTATCATATCTGTATGAACGTTACTTTTTTGTGGCAGTTTGTAAATACAGGCCATCTTCGACGTCCCTGTACTATGGTGTGCCACAAGGCTCTGTGCTGGGGCCTTTATTGTTCTTAATATATCTACTTCCCCTCCAGCATGTTTTGAGCCCCTTTGAGGACATCTGTTACCACTGCTACGCAGACAATATCCAGTTATACATTTCTTTTAAGCCCCAAGATGTTTCTAAGCTACAGATTTTGAATGGGTGCTTAGATTCCATTAAAGTTTGGATGGCTGACAACTTCCTCCAACTTATAGAAGGAAAGACTGAAGTCCTTGTATGTTCTCCTGATAGACACGTACCTAAGATAATGAATGCTCTTGGTCCCCTTGCAACATTTGTGAAATCGTCTATCAGGTATCTAGGGGCAATCTTTGACCCAGCTTTCACTTCGGATGTTTACGTCAAATCTCTGGTTCGGTCCTGCTTTTATCACTAAAGAAACATTTCTAAACTAAGCCCTGTTGTATCTCGTACTGAACTGAAGATTGTCGTTTATGCTTTCATTTCATCAAGACTACTGTAATTTACTGTTTAAGTGTTTAAACAGACTCTTTGGAGCGTCTACAGATTTTTCAAAACACTGCAGCAAGACTTCTGACCAAAACAGCTGCACTGGCTCCCCATTGAATTCAGAGTCCATTTTAACATTCTGGTGCTCTTCATGGACAAGCTCCTGCCTACATCATTGAACTTCTACAGCCCTATGTCCCTAGCAGGTCACTGTAGGTCATGTAAGCAGGGTCTACTTGTCATTCATTATACAATGCTGAGAACTAAGGGAGACAGAGCTTTTGCCACTGTGGCTCCCAGACTGTGGAACTCACACCCACCGAGCTTAAGATCTCTGGACTCAGTAGCTTCTTTTAAAAAAACAAATAAAAACACTTTTTTTAGAATTGCATTTAGTTAACTGTTGTCTGTTTTGTTTTATACTTTGTTGTCGTTGTGTGAAGCACTTTGTGATCTTTTATCTAGAAAGGTGCTATATAAATAAAGTTTTAGCTTACCTTATAATACATAGAGATGCATTATTTATTTAAAAAATTAATAATAAGAAGAAGAATATGCATGTACGATTTCAGACACATTAAAACAAAACTAATTCAGACCATGTATGAAGTTTGGCTTGATAATTAATTGGTATGCAATTTACAAATTTACAAATATTAGAGAAATTCTCACATTTAAAAACTTTTAATTTGGTCAATTGGCTGACAAATTACTTTACCAGTTTTTCTTCAAAAGTTTTAATGAAATACATTTTTTATCTATCAACAAACTAATTAATAACCCTAGACCAGATGCTAAAATTAAGCTTAAATTTCCTTTCGGTGATTTTTTTCCTCCACTTTTAGTCTTTCAAGGAAAAACAAACAAAAAAAGTTTTTCTTTCATTTTCTTTCATACATTTGATGCTTTCTGCCTAACTCGGGGCCAAACCAATCTAACTTATCGGGAATCCAATCAATGGGTCACACCAATGTAGACCTCAGGGATTAAGTTAACATTAGTTACACAAAAGTGAATTTATTTGCAAGGATGATTAATTGATCATAAAATACCTCATGCAGCTCACTCAAAAATAACATTTCTAGCAGCACAATTTCTTCAACAGATTGGAACATGACCTTCTGTTCATGTCATGTCATTTCACCAGACTCCAAGTTAGTGGAAAAGCCCTAACTATATCCCATCACACCTAAAACTCTCAAACCCTCCTCTTTCCTGTTTTTTTTTTTTTCTTTTTTCGCCTAAGCCAATGAGCTCTCTCTACAGGAGACAGCAAACTGCCAAAGTTCCCACCTCCGCGGATACCATCATGTCTGAACAAGTGTGCAGTCGCAGTGTGTCATGCAGTCACAGCAAGTGCGACACAGGGTGTTCATGCGAGCACCCGTTATTTGCATGCATGACTTTGTTAGCGGGGTTTGGCAGAGAGTAGACAATTGGGACACACACTTTGACTTAATTGGCACGTCAGCACAATGCCAGCTATCAACAGGAGGAAGATGATGTTGAATCATATCCAAGGAACTCGTCAAAAACTTTGTACAGGAAGACTTGTGCACTGATTACTGCAATCTTCACGCAAGCCTCAGGAGATCCGGCCTCTATGTTACTGTGTGACTTTAAGAACTGTTGGGTTAACGAGACAGCATCTTATGTTGCTTTTTAAGTGCCAAATCTCATTTCACTGGTTTTCTAATAAGATTTAGTGGAGACAATTGAATCACTTCTGATTACTCTTAACGGCCATTGATTCCTTTCTAGATAAACAAATTCAAGTAGTTGAATTAACTTTTAATATAATGGGAAAAGTATTGATATTGTTAATTTGTTAATAGCAGTAGTAAGAAAAAGAACAATTTAACAGCATGTTAACATTGTGCAAGGTGCCTTATTTCATAAATGCAATTTTCGTTGTTTTATGTGTCTTACGTGTGCTTTTTATCAGTGGGACACAGCAGGACTGAGGGGACTCTAATCACATCACTCTAAAGAGATGCTCCTAATTTCTGAGGCCTTATTGGGTCCCTTTGGCCACTCACAATCAATCACTGTCTCAGCCAACTAGTTCAAAGCAGTTGCAGTTTATTTAAACTGCAATTTATTTAACCCTTCCCTCACCATAGGACCATAAAGACACTCGTTTTGACTGAATCACACCAGTCACTAAATTCCAGAGTACTCAGTACATTATCATGGCTCTTTTAACTTGGCCTTTATTTTCATCTTCATCTTCATCATCAAAAGAAATGGAAATGGAAAAGGAATTAGAAGATGGCACATAGAACGTCCACTAACAGTTTAGCCCCCTGGCAACTAACCCTATGGGAGGCTTTAAGGCTTTTTTGTAAATGTCAGTGCTGTGAGCTATACGAATGATAATTGTGGACATCACACTCATGTGGGCCAATGGCATGCGACTGAATGTGGCAATACATTTGGATACTTAAGGCATCCGTCTGTGCACGTTCTTTAGTCTCAAAATCTTTTGCACCACTTCAATTCCACCCTCTTTCTCTGAAGCTTCTCAAAATTTGGGGTGGTGGTGGTGAATGTCAGCAAAGTGAAAAACTGATCTCAACTGTAAAAATGGAACAATAAATGATATTTGATAAGTACTGACTTACATGTTAATTTTGGTAACAATGTTAGAAAATCATTTATTTACACTGTTAACTATCACATGTTCCAAATCTTTGACCAGAAAATTATTACCAGCTTATAGTCTTAAATTCACCGCCTGTCTCATCCCATGAAATTGAAGTCACTTAAGTGTTACTGCAAGTACATTTCTAACTGCTTCACTTGATTCTTCAATTGACTTTAAATGAATTATCCCCCTAAGAAGGGAAAACCAAATGTGTTGGACTGTCAGTAACCACTGCAATAAGACATATAGTCATACATGTTTAATTAAACACCCAGTAAAGAATCAGAAAGGTTATGATCAAGATTAATTTACACCAAGACACCTGACAAGAAAAAGAGACAGAAGCAGAATTGAGTATATGAGGAGTCAACGTTACAGTTAACATCGTTATTAATCGGCTGTCAGAAGCGTCCTACATGCATCCTTGATACTCACCCAGCTAAGACGAAGTTGTCATAGGAGCTGACGTCACAGAGCACCTTCCCCAACTCGAACTGCAGCTGGCTGATGGATCCCACTCGATTCTAGGTGAAAATTATAGGCTGGCTGAAAACTGATATATTTTATTAGATGAGAGACGCGCAGCTGGTCTACTGTCAGTTCTGCACTAATATCAGTCTGAGAAATACAGTAACAATTAGTATTTCCCAATGAAGTGAAGCAGTGATGCTTTACAAAAGAAAGCTTGTAAGGGCCTTGCTGTATAGTGTCCATGTTCTTCTGCCTGTGCGGGTTTTTCTCTGGCTACCTCACACATATTTTGAAGGTAGGTGCAAGTGTGAGTGCATGTCTGTCTGTTAGTTTTACCGATACAATTAGGGTAAGTCGATGTCCCAGTTTATGTATGACAGCACAGGATTTTCATCCTCTGTCCCAGTATCACAAATTGACATAATGTCTCACATTTTAATGGGCCCCAGTTTTGAATAGTAAGTGCTTCAGAAGACGCTTTCCCAAAGTCTGCCTTTTTTCTGAGAAAGCAGGAAAGGCAGTTATCTAGGTCAACATGTCACCAGCTTTTCCAGTTGTGCAAAGTCCAGTGAGGAAATGCAGTGAAAATGAAATCTTTGTGAATCTGTAGGTCATTCAAAGACTGTCTTTTGACTTATTCTTCAATTTTGCACAGCTGCTGGATGGAAGCATCTGTTTCGCCACAGTAAAGTAGTTCAAGCTCACCTTCCAGTTGAAGCGCACCGTTTTAGAAGAGTTCCTGCAGTCTCGCAGCATACTCTTCCAGCAGGGCGAGTCAGACATGCTGGCATTCTGATGGTAACCATCCCTCACGCACAACTTGAACCACAGAACAGAGTCCTCTGCAAGGACTCTCCATGCCCTGCTCACCTGAGAGAAGATTAAACCGTGTAACTGTGGATTGAGTCAGCATACATTAAGAGCTTGCATCACTTATTTCTATTTAACAAGCTCGGCTGACTGCCAAATGGACTCGTCACATGCGGGTCTGGCACACAAAATGTAATTTATTAATCTGTACCAAATTAAGTCGTGAAAGGCAAATAAAGCTGCCCTAAGCAATTCAGTATGTGTTGCTACAAATGAAGAACTTAACTTTTTAAATCACAACACATCGCTATTGTATAGCTGGGGTGCGGTTTTGGCCATGAAGATTTCTGGTCCCTGTGCAACAAAATAATTTGTTTTAGCCTCAGAGTTGTTTTAATTTGAATCCCTCCCAGATTGTAACGCTTGTCAGTGTGCAACTGTTCTTCTAAAGTAGAGGTTCAAAAACCCTTTTTAGAATGTGAAAGATAGATACTTGCAATAACCCCTTGATGTTATCCACTCGCTCACTTAAGCAAGACTTAAGTCACCAAGTAGTTCAATAAAATAATGATTTATTTCTCTGTTGCCCATTTAAACACATTTTAGAGCTCTATTTTCACAAGAAAATAGCGAAGAATACTCACGAGTAACCAGATAAGCATATGTCCATTCCTGTCCCATTAATTGGACAATTTATTTTATTTTGAAGTGACTGCCAAAACAATGTCCTATTTATGTAAACACTTTTTTCATCAAATGAATCCCTTCTGTTGGCTGAAAACTACAGTACCAGGGTTTTCCATCAGTGAATACAAGGCCTTGCAACGTCGTCTTGTGAAAAACCTGATTAACCTCTAAGATTCATTCTGGAGCTGGTGGATGAAAACACTGACCTGCACCCCTGAGGTGACGTTTGTCCAGCCTCTTACTCAGACTGCTTACCTGGGCACATCGGCCTAGTTCTGCACAGTTGAGATATTGGAATATCTTCAAAGCTATCTCATACGGCAACTCAATATCAAAGAAGGGAATGTCATTGACTTCATTCTGCAAAACAGATCATTAAACACACATTATATACCCAGCTGACTGTGGTCAAGTACCATCTGACGGTGTGCATTATCGCTCTCATACCAGATCCTGAATGAGTTGGTCTACCAGCTCTTCTTCTTTCTTGACCTTTCCCTGAGGCTGCTGCTGCAAGGATGAGCTGCAGACATTAGTCATGTTATGATATTGCCTCTTTCTCCTGCTCCTCTCCTCCTCAATTCTGTCCAACAGAGGGCTGGTCCTTCCATCCAGCAAACTACTTGCAATGGACACATACTGAGGCTGATCCTCTGTCTCTGCGGCAGCAGCAAGAGCAGCAGGTTTTCCCCCTACACGAACATGCTCAGTGCAACCACCTTCTTCTGGCTTTGAATGACTACCGGCCTTGTTAAGATTTTTTAAGTCTCTCTGGCCTAACTGATCATCAATATCCCGGGAAGAGGAAGGCGCACAAACCAGTCGTTGCTCCCCCTTTTTACTCGATAACTCTCGTTTCCAACGCTCCCTGAACGCAGCAAGATCGTTCTCTGCCATATTCTTCTGTCATCGCTGAAAATCTAACTTTTTTTCAACATTACAAAGTAAAATTTTGTAGTTTTACAGACGAGTTAAGAATAGAACCAGAACGACACCGACAAAAAACAAGCACGTCCTCCTGTATAAACAGTCCGAAGAGGGAAAGCGAGCAAATGTGCAAAAGTTCCGCCAACTTTTAATTCCGCATTTTTATTATAGACGCGTCGATTGCAGGGGGAGATATATTGTATTTGTGGGCAATGTTTTGGCAATTTGTTTTTATACAAAATTTATTATTTCGTATTACATAGTTATGTGTACAGGATGATCACATTTTAGAAAAAGTGCAATTTTTATTAGAACTTTAAAAGAATTTAAGCGTGCTAATGCAGAAAACTCCCCAAGATAAAACCAAACAGGAGCGATCCAAGAGTTAATCATTGCATCGCTCTTTTGGGAAAGGATGATGTAAACCCCACACCATGTGACACTGTAATGAATAATACAGTAGTGAGAGAGGTGGGGGAGAAAGGGGGGACGCAAACACTGTAAAGGTTTGCTGAGAAAAAGAGAAGGAGGGTCCTGTATCCTCAAGACTTAAACTGAGTAGACCGTGCGTTTTGCCGCGAAGACGAGATGTGCTGGCTGCCGATAGACCATCCTCTGCTGCTTCCAGGTGACTCAACCTGCAGCTCTCGTCGACCCTCGCCGTGCTCCGTGGCTCAACTGCTCGCGTCGCGCCTACGGAGGATCGGGGATAAGCTGGAGAAAAGCTGGGCGACCGAGCGGGCGGACGTCGGCTACAGCTGCGGGGACAGAGGGACGGTGGTGGTAAGCGGACGGGGTCACCTGAAGGAGGGCTTCCTGTGCGTTGCGCTGCACTTCACCGTGCTCGTGCTGTTCGTCGCGAGGCGACACCTGTAGGGCGCGAGGCTGCCTCACCAGCAACAGGTGAGTAAACAGAGTCACGTCACCTGTTCGAGCGCGAAACCACTAAGCCTATCTCAGATTTGGATGAAAATTCATTTAGGCATATTTGTCAAATTGAAACACACACACACACACACACACACACACACTAAATAAATACAAAAATGCTTTTTTTGACGCAGGCCAGGAAAACATTTTCTTTACTACTTCCATCAACTTTTTTGGCCTTTCCCAAATGAAATAATCCATTTTAAGATATAAAAATACATTTAATCTCTCAATATTTGCACAACAACTTTCATCAAGGGACCATAAAAACTGGATAAATAAATTTGGCGATAAAAATGTTTTAAGTATTAGGTAATTATTAAGAGTCGCACTTCTACAGAAAACGAGATGAAATAAATATTAGGATAGAACTGATGCCATTCTCTACATTTCATTTTCAGACGGTGCTAAATAGAAATTATAGCTCTACTGCAGGTTTCACGTTTCTTATAATGCGTCTCAATAAAGTGCGTGTATCTCTATCTCATCATAGACGGTGCCTTTAAGATTATGCATGAGGGAAAGCAACGGGCTCTCATCATTTGCACTTAAAGCAAAGGATGGAGGAGAGTCGGAGGACGCGGTGCAGGAAGAAGTGTGCACAGCGGGTGGAAAAGCGACAAACGAGGAAGCGGGTTAAATTTGTGTTTCAGGAACGGAACTGCGTTTCTGACTATTCTGCATGTGGCATGAAGACTAACTCAGGTCGGATATGGATGCACTATACCGAGCTGAGACGACACCAGCAGCCCTGCAGTCAGTCAGCGGCTATATCTACCCCTACATGACTCTCCAATTCTGTCATCCCATCTACAAGCCGGTGATGTAATCTTCCCCTGGTAGAGTGGAGGGAAAAGCTTACTAATAGTACGCCTTTAAAATTTTCACCTCCCACAATGCGAGTGCATCAGTGAAAACTGGGGTTAAACTCATTAGACCTTCTGTATCTAGGCTACAATTAGTGCAGCAATCCTTAATAATGCACTGAAATGTTTCCAAGCTTCATAATGCACTGTACCTTTTCTTTTTTTTTTTTAAACATAAGCTATAAGTGTAAGCATGTAAATAATGAGAGTGGTTTTTACAGGTGTTTTCTACAGTGTTTAGATGATGTTTACACATTACTCTGCTTTTTTTTTTTTAATCTGTTGGGGGGAGTGTTATGTGGCTTGTTATTATAAAGAAAACTCCTAGGAAGCTATGCTGTTATGCTGTCTGTGATTTCTGCAAAAAAGAAAAAAGCTTTTTTCCCCCTAGTATATTTAATGTAATGTGGGTAAAATTCCTGAAACGGTCTTTTATAAAGTGTATGGTCTTTATACTTTTAAAACATTTCATATGAATTTTTAGCAGTCCTGATAATAAAAAAACGTTTACTGAGATATATTCTTTGTGTCATTGCATTTAGACAAGAAATACACCTGATATTTGAGCTTAAGTGCTTTATTTCAAAACCAATGATCTCAGTGCTTCACTGCGCATTTTCCATATAGTCCTAGAGTCTATTAAGCAGCCCGAGGAAAATTATTCTAAATAAAATACACAGTAACAACATAAATGAGGAATAACAATGGAAGACAATTTACATTGTGGACGATTATCAGATATGTGCCTCTGATGTCAGTGACAATGTATGTACTACATATCAACACTTTTACAATGCACCGTTTATGGTCAGGCTACTTAAACGGCACACACCACCTTGTTCCTTAATCAGTATCTAAATATGCTTATGTTTTACCAACCACAACATCTTCTACCTAAAGAGTACAAACTGATTTTCCATTAAGAATCATTCTGAGACATTTCATTTTCAAATAAAGTCATTTGTAGAACTAAATCAATACATGTGATGAAATTGTAAAGACAACTCAGAGTGTATATTCAGTCACGTTTTACTTTATAACCGCACTTAAAACAAACTCTTATATTAAAAAAAGTCAAATAAAAAGTTACCCATAGATTACAACAGTAGCGAACCATTGAAATTGAGCTCAAGTTTATGTTCCTTTACCACATTGATCATTTCTTTAAACATGTGGCCTCAATCACCAGTTTTATAGGAGATGATTGTTTTTAAATATATTCGATTATGGCCTTCTCAAATGCCTATAAATTTAATGTCCCCAATATATCATGTATTACCCCAATTATTCCTAGCCTGATTTATATAAGACATTTACAGAAACATCACTGTTTACCTGGCTTCAGAGTACAATCACATATCTCTGGATGCTCATGCTATATTATTAGAACTTAATAAATTTGGAAGTGAGCTGAGGTGGTGCCATCCTTCCAGCATCTCAGGGTCTCAATGACAGTAGACCGACACAGTGGACACGTTCTCTCACGATCGAACCACAAACACAAGCATTCCTCGCAGAACACGTGCTGCAGAATAACAAAATCTTCATTTATTTGATGGCAGAAGTGTGACACATACATAGCTAGGATATCTTGCTAAAAATACCAATAAATAAGTAAATTTGTCACTCAAGCTACTCTTGTGAAAACTGCATCTAAAAAAAAATGGACATAGTCACCATGAAATCATCACGGGTTAATGAAGCCTTGTTGTGAAACATTGAGCATACTTGACCCTCCATATGAGCACTTCCGAAACCAGATGTCACAACTGCAGGGAACATCTGACTGTGAAACCATGTGACATAACCATGGAAACAACAAAAGCAATAATCACATGTTAGGCTTGTCCTGCATTATTGCTCTTTTGGATAAAGGGGGCTGTAATTTCAAAAATTAACATCAGTCACTGAACCTAGTGACTGAGCCCTTATTAGAGGATCAAGGAATCTAAAAGCTGTTTGTGACCACAGAGCCCCCCTCTGCTGGCCATTAGAAAGAATGCAGGTTTGGTTTCAGACCCAGAAACTATGTCCATCTTTTATAGAAGTCTATAACATAATTGTTATTTACAGATGATAACAGAGCAACAAAAGTAGGTCATATTAACTTTTAACCACACCCAAGTAACAGTCAGTATATAGTGACATTCAGTGACAACAATTTTGACTTTAAATGAGCCAAATAATTTGCAAAATTTAGATTTTTTTTTTTTTACCATTTTGTTACCAGTTAATGAACCCTTACCTGACAGAGAAGTGCAATGGGGTCTCTAAAATCAGCCTGACAAATAGCACAGACATCACCTGCCTCGCTGCACTGCTGACTGCCAGCTCTCACTCCATAACTCTGGATGACATATGCACAAACACACAAAGGAGTGAAATCTTCTGGATACTCATTTAGATTTTTTATAAATTCTTAAAAAAACAAAAAACAAAACCCACGACTGACCTGGGAGCTGCAGAGCATGACCAAGGCCTTGTGTATTGCAGATATACGTCCGCAGATGTCAAAGGACTGCAAATCCATCAAGATCAAGACAAAGCACAATTATTAAAAAAAAAAAAAAATGGAATTACAGCATCCCTCAGGATTCCCCATTTCATCCAAAATTAGAAAGGACTTAGTTTACAGACATGCAAACAGATTCACAAGTCCATATTTGGGCACACCGCTGCTTTGAAATGAAAACAAAGAAACAAAAATCTATTTTACATAACTGTTCATTTCAACTCTAAAACAACAAAAATGGATTTCTTTTAAGGGCACACCTCAATAACTTAATTTTTATCTCACTGTCTTTATATGAAATAAAGCCATTACAAATTGATCAAAAGTCCAATTTGTTTCAGTTACACACAAACTAGACCTTTGATAACTTCCTCCACCTACAGCCTTCTGGTGTAAGCTCGTTTCTTTGAAGTTCATTCAACTGTTGCCAAGTCATTCAACACCGTTATGACGACAATGACTCAAAGAAGCATTCATATCAGCATGCTGTTATACTAAAGCAAGCCTTGCTTTGCCTGATTCTGGAAAACACCTGTGTGCTGCAACTTGTACATGGAGTACGCACATCCAGGAGATTACCCACGTAACTCAGTCGAACACCCCCATATTTAAGAACTACAACATCTGAATCACTGTTATATTTAAAGAAAGCAGGTCAATAATTGTAACCACACATTGTAGAATGAATAGTCTCAGAGTGTAAATAATCTTTGCATCATCCATAGACTTGCTCATTCATGTTCCATTAATTTTCACTATTTCTGTTCTCCCACAGAATGTCGTGTCCAACTTTTAGT